GAGGATAGAGGATAATCATGTAAGACAAGAAATCATCTCAAAAAGCTGAAATTCAGGAGGGGGCGGGGTTTGGTCACATTTTTTAAGCAATTTCCATTTTTTATGTTTGTAGTACATGGCGATCCCAATGGTCGAGCAACCCTTCCCAAACCCCCGCACCCAGCCTTCACCAAGAGGAAGTCCGTCTCTGCCGCTGCCTCAGAGATCTATGCGGAGAAAGAAACCGCTGCCACAACCCATCGAGCCGCCATCACCCAGAGACAATGAGTGTGTTTACAGCAAGGTAAAAGTAGACAGAGATCAACAGAGGAATACGCTGGAAGAGAACGGGGGCTCTGTTGTGTATGCCGCCCTCAACCATCAGCTCCCAGCCAGGCCTGTTGCTCGGCCGAGGAGGCCGAAGGAGGAGTGTTCAGAGTACGCTGCGATCCGTGTTAGAGACAGCAGCTCTTAGACCACTGAGGGACTTTTCAAAATGATAGAAAACCAAAATGAAACTGCCACAACGAGAGATGTGAATGTTGGACGGACACAGATCTCAAACTATCTTTTTTGTTGTTGTTGCACATCCAAGATCTGAATTAAGGTCATGTAGCAGAAATAGTCAGAGGCTGTTGTTACGCATGCACAAAACTCCTGAGAAGTTCCAGAAATGTTGAATGTCAGCCGCATGTGTGAACTCACTTTTTTCATCGTAAAATCTGAAAGTGAAGTCTGGGGGAGCTGATGTGTGAACGCGGCAGGAAATATTCAATCACTGTGAGACAGAGCGAGGGAGTGGGTGAACTTCGAGCCCGTCTATCCAGTTTGTTCTTTTCCTGTGAATGAGTGAAATGTTCTTGAAGTTTTCAGGAGTGCATGTGTGAAAACGGCTTTACAAACCTTTGACTCATCATACGACGATACGAATGACTAGCTTCTGTGCTTTTATGTGTCACAGCCTTTGAGAAAAAATGAATGTGATTCTTTTACCCGCATACTGAGAATGTATTGATTAATTCATAATCCGTGCAATTAAATACACAATGACTGCTTGATTTGACATCAGTGCTGACCTGCCTCTTTGAATGTTTTTACCATTAAACAATCTCATGCCAGGGCAGCAAAGAGGTTAACTCAAAACACCAGGAAGTCTCAGGTGAACTGAGATGCCAATGTGCTGAAAATCTCCTTTTTGGATGTTAAGTAAATGGACTTAAGCGTGTCTTTGACTACTCAAAGTGCTTTTACACCAGGGCTGGACTGGGACCAAAAAATGTTTCACTCATATTACGTGATAATAATAACTGTAAGCTGTAACACCTGCAAACTATAACTTTATGGCAAGCTAAAATAACACTGTAAGTTGGACATCAAGTCTACTCACAGCATTATTTGAAAACAAAGGCTATAAAGGCAATTCTCTCTCACACTCACACACACACACACACACACACACTAGGGTGACCACCTCCAAACCAGCAAGGACGAGGTTGTGCACAAAACTCTATAAGCTACTATTATGATGCATGTTTTTTAAGTCTGACTGAACAAAATGAGTCCTGTATTAATTTCCTATGTTGAGCATTTGCACACTTTTAGCCTACAATTTCCCCAGATACTATTGAGTGAAGATGTACACGCATCCCAAAACACTTTCATTGATAATTCCACGGGCTGTCATCATTTCTGTGTCATTCCAGTGTCTTCCTGACAGCGGGCGTGTGGAGCCCACGTATACCTGTCTGTCTGCGCAAAGACATTTGATAGGTTTGCTTGTTGTACTGCGTCAAGACAGTCGCTATTCTGACCTCCTCCTCCTCAATCTGTCCCCGCTGCTGGGTCACGTCTCTCTCCTCCTCCTCCTCCTCCTCCTCCTCCTCCTCCTCCTCCTCCTGTGCACTCGATGGGACTGCTTCTGCACATGTCGACTGCCCTGCACCCGCTGCTGCAGTCAAACTTGCAAACATATTAGTGATTTTGGCACATTTTGCTGCATCCACTTGTTGTGCTTTTGTTGTTTCTTATCCATTTCACACTCACTCACTTCTCTCCAGGGGCGTTTCTAGGTTTCTGAAACATCCGGGGCTTAGCCCAGAGGGAAATGGCAAACGCGCGCGCACAGCCACACATTATTTTGTTTGCTTTATTTCACATGCAAAATTTTTCATAATGCTTTACCTAAATTAAACAAAATACTCAGTTTATTATAGCTTTAAATAACTACCTGACTGCTGTGCTGCTTATCCCCAGACATCTACAGTTCCATTCAAAGTTATTTCAGAGTAAAATGAATACAAGTGAGACAGACCTTACATTACCTCTATGGATCTGACTGGGGATAGGTTAGGTTAATTCACTTGAAGTGGTAAACAGTCTGGTTATGTTTTGTTTATTCTCTTGGTAAACTATCTCGAAGGACGAGGCTGTGACGGTAAATTTGACAGCGGTGCGTTCAGACACACTCGGAAATTCCATGGTTGAATATGGAGATTTTGTTGCTCTGTTGTCATGCGGTAAACGAGGGGCGTTCAAGGATCGTCGGAAAGTTGAATTTTTTAATTTTTAAAATTATATTCGGGCTAATTAAATAATATCCGGGGCTTTAGCCTAGTGACGCCACTGCTTCTCTCCAACTCCGGTCAGCTTAATGGCAAAATTTGATAACCTTGGAGAGGGGAGGGGCGGGCCGAGGAGGGCTGAGAGATTTCATTGGACTAGCCCAATGTCTTTCAAGAAAATCAACCAATGGGCTGCGTTTCCTGTCTCATATACAGTCGTGGTCGATAAAAAATAATATACTCTTTTAATTAAATTATGACAGCCCCGGGCCGGCCCAACAATGTGCATCAGCCCACCGGGTATTGCCCGGTACGCCCAATTGGCCTGTCCATGCCTGTTTTACACCACAGGTTACACTCACTGCATTCACACTGATGACAGAGGCTACAAAGCCCCCATTTAGACAAATATCACACAGAAACCAGATAACAGGAAGCAGAGTCGACCAGAAGACGTTTACTGCAGCGTTTACAGCAGACCATCAGTTGTTTGACAGAGCTTACAATCTGGTTCTAGACATTTTTTCACCATGACACCAAAGTCCTGCTTCACCATCCTTCATGTGTCCATCTTGGCTGCGACACTTCTCACTTTGGAAGTTTCCTGTAAGTTTTTGTCTTTTTATTAATGGCATACTCTCAATGGCAGCAGCTGCGTGTTACTGTCTTTGTGGCTCTGTCACTGCGTGATGTGTCGACAAATATTCCTCAGAAAAAATAATGTTATGTAAACTGAAAAGGTATCAAAAGTACTTATAGTGAGGGTGTATATTTAATAAAATCTCCAGAACGCAGCAGAAGGCTCAACTGTGTACCGTTAAAACTCAACACGGAAATGAACTGGATATGAATTTGGAGGAAACAATTTAAATTGTGGTGAAGGAAGGATTACCTTTATAGAGAATTGTATATTGTTGGCAGAGAAAACCTGAAATGCAGTTTTCTACATGCAAACATATTTAGTGATAAAAATGACCGAATGTGTTAGTTTGGTAATTTCTTGCCATTTTTTAGACTTTTTGGTCTCTTTATATCGGTTAAAAGTCGACAAATGCAGCATGGCAAAACAGCAGTGTATCGGCTGAAGTCTGTACTTCCTGAATTCAGACAGTGGTGGGGATCTTTTCACCTTAAATTTAGCCTCCATGAAGCGAGGCTGCCTTATTAAAATGAGCAAACCCCATTCTCAACTCTGACTTCAACACAAAGTACAACACATGACTTCCTGCCCTGAACTTTCCGTGTAGCTGTTGCAACAATGAACAACAAATCTATTGAACTGCTTTTACGTTCTGTCATCATTAGCTGGTGTCACATTTTTGAGAAAGTGAGTTGCCTGTAATTTTTTTACTCTGATAATATTTTGTTTCATCTTTAGCTGTCATCAGAATTTATTTATACATTACAAAAAAAATCAATCAAGGATGAGCTAACCTATTCTGTATGTTTGTTGTCTCTTTCCTTGCAGGTACAGATGAATGTGAAGTTCAAATTAAAGTACGCCGATACACAGAATATAAAGCTCACCTTGGAGAAGAACTAAAGATTGAATGTCCAGTTACGTTCTGCAACGATTCACCACCTGAAATCTCCTGGGTTAAACTCGAAGAAACTGGTGATCCTATAAACATTAGCGGGAGAAGTCGCTTCAAATCAGAGTGGAAAACTTTGAAGCATTTAGAGGGAGTTTCAGTTTTGATCATTCAAAACTTTGTCAGAAACGACTCGGGTATATATCGGTGTAAATGTGGTTCCAGTGTTGGACATAAAATCAATGTTTCTGTCAATGGTGAGTGTGACTTTGTTATTAATCTAATGTGTCTTTATTGAGTTAAACTGCCTACAGATACCCTGATACAGCCACGTAATAATCAGCTTGAATATAACAGCTACGCTCCGAGCTCCGAGCTACTCTGATCCTGTATTTGATCATGTCTATAAACCCCTCTATTTCAGCCCTGCTCAGAACAGGCTGTTTCTGTGGCTGTACCTTTAAATATGTAAATGAGCTGTGTCTGACCACGCCCCCTCTCTGGAAGGGCTTGGGTGTACTCGGTGCTTTCTCGCTCCATGCCCTATTGTTTACGGTGAGAAGGCAGACTCAGAGGGCAGAACAAACACCTAGCTGTGGGAGTGTCACCCACCTGGGGGAGGGGCTACTGCCCTTTGTGATGTCATGAAGGGAAAATCTCCAAAAGGCCTGTTTGAGCACACATTTTCTGAAAAGTGGAGCAGGCAAAAGACAGAAAAGAACGGACGTTTCTCATAATCAGGGGGTTTGTAGACGGACTAGAGACACATATTAGTGTTAGAAAAACATGGTGAAGTGTATTTTGCATAATATGTGACCTTTAATGTTTTTCAGATAGTGTTGAACTCATCACCGACCAATCGACAACTTCAGAGCCACGTAAGAAGCCTTCAATCTTTTTTCTGACCTTGATAACTATGGGTTACTTTATTAACTCTGATGCTGAGACAAATGTCCCCTTTTCACAGGGAGACCAGAAACTGAGGACGCTTTCTGGCCTTTTGTGTGTCGTGTTGTTGGACTCTTGGTGTTTGTCGCCATAGTGATTGCTATGTTTGTCACCTCACAGTCTTTGCGTAAAGGTGAGACTTTTTATTTTACACGAGTGTTTTTATGAGCCACACAGGCGCTCTGCAGACCTCCAGCTGAGGATTTAAACTAAGAACCACACATTGTGATATCAACAAATATCAAATTATGATCGTTTTTCATTTCAATTCAAGGTGTCCGATGTGGAGGAGGATCCAAAGACACACCAGCAGATCCAAACAGCCAGCCTTCCCATCAGGCTTTGCCTATGGATCATATCTATGATAGTGTTCAGTAGTCCTCATGTCAGAGGTACAAAGTTAAACGTTACAATGCTGGGTTAAGAACATACAACAGCATTTATTATTGATTGTTTTTTGTGACTCGTGGAAGTCAATTTGTGCTTGTGAATTTCTGCAAATGAACCTGTAGTGATACAAGAAGTGACATTTCTATTGCTTTCAAACCGCTGTATATGAGATCGAACCTGTGTGTGTGTGTGTGTGTGTGTGTGTGTGTTTTGCTTCCTCTGTAGGTGACAAACTTTGTGCACAAATCCCCTGCAAGATATATTATTTTGGTTATCTGTATCGCATTGTGGAGCAGACGCACTGATGCCAGGAAGCAAAATGTAACCACACGTCACATATTGAGAGACAAAAGACAAGAGGATGTGTCGTAACATGAAAGAATACGCAGCCCTCAACTTATCACCCATCTGTTCTAGGAATCTTATTTCACTCTAAAATATAAATTATAAATGTGATTTTACCACTTGACATACAGCCCAATATTAAAGATTCACTGAAGAAATCTAGTTTCTTAAACTGACAAATGAAAACAACAGCCAATCTGTCAGTCAAAGCAGCCCCGCCAAATTATAATATAATTACTAGCCTTCAAAAAAGATTTTTCATAAATTCTTAAAATTCATAAAAATTCACCCTGTAAAGTTTGTGCAAATAAATAAATGAGCTGTCAAAACCAAACCTGTTTTGTAGCAGCTTTAAATGTGTTTATTTCTGCTGTAATAACAGTTTTAACATGTGATCTAATGGGGTTTCCTCGGCTTTAGTGGACACTTGAGGAAATGCAGTTTTTTGGGCCTACAGATTGACTTCATTTTTTTAACACCAAAAGGTTTCAACTAATTTAATGTTAGCTTAAGTGCTTTATGTTCATTTCTATTCAGTATGTCATGGTTGGAAATGACTGAATTTGATGAATATCTCCTTTCAGATTGCGTCTTTATGTCAGAAACATCCACATGTGCACATCAGATTGTGTCTTGGCTTATTACTCATTACATGCAAATAAAAATACACACGTTCCAAATCGTCTTTTTGTTTTGATTGATTCAATATTGCACGTGTTGTTTCGTGCTAATGCAGCGATAATGTTCCATTCTGTGGTTTCATCACTTCATTGAAACTAGAACAAATTGCTAATGAGTTATGCAAATGACATTCAATATGAGTCACCTTGACATCAACGCTCATTAATAAATGGTCAACTTGATCCACTTCAGTTTGCTTATCAAGCTGGTGAAGGTGTGGACGACGCCAAGGTTTTCATTTTCGACACTGTGTACAAACGCCTGGAAAAACCTAAATCCCATGCCAGACTTTTATTCGCTGACTTTTCCTCAGCTTTTAATAAAATGCAGCCTCATATTTTAATTGAGACACTATCCTCTCACTTTAAACTTCCTGGTCAGATTTTAATGTTGCTTTTAAACTTTTTAACAGACAGAGTTCAGCAGGTTTTCGTGAATGGTCAAATGTCGAAAATAATTATGTCAAACACTGGTTCCCCTCAGGGCTGTGTCCTTTCCCCCCTGCTTTTTATCATGTACACAGATAGCGGCAGAACATCACAAGAGAACAGTTATCTGGTAAAGTTCTCAGATGACACTGTTCTGCTGTACCTCCTTCAGGGCTCAGAATCAGGCCATGGCGGTGCTCTACCAACTTTTGTTAAGTGGTGCGATGGCAACTTCCTGGATCTTAATGTCCTGAAAACCAAGGATTTGGTCATAGATTTTAGGAAGAACTGTTGTCACCCTGAATCTAGCATTATCCACAGTGGAGGGGTTAAGTTGGGGTTAAGTGTCTTCACCAATGGACACGTCCACATATGTCTGCAGGAGCTGGGGATTGAAACTCCATCCTTCCTGTTGAGAGATACCCAACTCTACCACAGTATAGTCCGTAGTGTGGGTTTGCTCTCAACAAATATCATACAGAAACCAGATAACAGGAAGTAAAGTCGACCAGAAGACATTTACTGCAGCGTTTACAGCAGACCATCAGTTGTTTGACAGAGCTGAGAATCTGGTTCTAGACATTTTTTCACCATGACACCAAAGTCCTGCTTCACCATCCTTCATGTGTCCATCTTGGCTGCGACACTTCTCACTTTGGAAGTTTCCTGTAAGTTTTTGTCTTTTTATTAATGGCATACTCTCAATGGCAGCAGCTGCGTGTTACTGTCTTTGTGGCTCTGTCACTGCGTGATGTATCGACAAATATTCCTCAGAAAAAATAATGTTATGTAAACTGAAAAGGTATCAAAAGTACTTATAGTGAGGGTGTATATTTAATAAAATCTCCAGAACGCAGCAAAAGGCTCAACTGTGTACCGTTAAAACTCAACACGGAAATGAACTGGATATGAATTTGGAGGAAACAATTTAAATTGTGGTGAAGGAAGGATTACCTTTATAGAGAATTGTATATTGTTGGCAGAGAAAACCTGAAATGCAGTTTTCTACATGCAAACATATTTAGTGATAAAAATGACCAAATGTGTTAGTTTGGTAATTTCTTGCCATTTGTTAGACTTTTTGGTCTCTTTATATCGGTTAAAAGTCGACAAATGCAGCATGGCAGAACAGCAGTGTATCGGCTGAAGTCTGTACTTCCTGAATTCAGACAGTGGTGGGGATCTTTTCACCTTAAATTTAGCCTCCATGAAGCGAGGCTGCCTTATTAAAATGAGCAAACCCCATTCTCAACTCTGACTTCAACACAAAGTACAACACATGACTTCCTGCCCTGAACTTTCCGTGTAGCTGCTGCAACAATGAACAACAAATCTATTGAACTGCTTTTACGTTCTGTCATCATTAGCTGGTGTCACATTTTTGAGAAAGTGAGTTGCCTGTAATTTTTTTACTCTGATAATATTTTGTTTCATCTTTAGCTGTCAGAATTTAATTATACATTCCAAAAAAAATCAATCAAGGATGAGCTAACCCATTCTGTATGTTTGTTGTCTCTTTCCTTGCAGGTACAGATGAATGTGAAGTTCATATTAAAGTACGCAGCAAAACAAAATATGAAGCTCACCTTGGAGAAGAACTAAAGATTGAATGTCCAGTTACGGTCTGCAACGATTCACCACCTGAAATCTCCTGGGT